CATTGTGTATGTGACATTTGGAGTATGAATAAGCCAATCATGTGACAGCTATTTTTGTTACTTTAAATGTGACATCGAACAGTGTGCACCAGGAACTGAGATTGTGCACAGAGCTCCAAGATGTGCTTCTGGTGTGAAATACCTTCTGCTGAAAAAGAAGCGTTTTGGCAAGGTATGATAGCCATTTATTTATTTTTTGTCCCGGTGGTTTCAAGGAATGGTTGTATACCATTACGTTAATAAGCCAGGAACTTGTTATGATTTCATTTCAGCGTGATAAATGATGTATTCCAGTTTTAGTATAGACTTTGTCACGGTTTTGGAAGCCATCTTGACAATAAGGCGACCGCTTTGGGTGCGCGAAATGTGTTGCTCAAGAAAGCGCCATGTTGAAACTCCAAAAGAGAGTGGAGTAAATGGTGCAAGTCAAAAGGAACCTACCCTAAGGGTTACTATTTTTACTCTCCCTGATCTTCCTCCATCTTAAAATCAAAGATGGTGGTTACAGCAATATGACTGATAAACAAGCAGCTTTCCCCCACCCAAAATACGCCTGCACTGCAGGCTAGCCACACTGATTTTTTTTCCTTTAAAATTTGCCACTGGATTTTTTTCCTTAAAATTGAATAGTGGTTGAAGAGACTTACACTTTCATGGAAATTTGTTGACCAGAAATTTCAAGAGACTAGCAAATGCACGTGGGTCCCATAACATTAATAGCCAGTGTGAATATTTTAGTTCAGTAATATATTGTTTGATTCATTATGGGAGATATCTTCTCTACAGATTTAATAAACAAGTGTGATCTCAACACTTTTTCAAAAAATCTGGCAATGACAAAATGAGTCATTAAACCAGGTAACAGCTTGTAAAGAAAGTAGTGTCCGATAGCCCGGGGCCAGTGGATTTTGCTATCGAGCTAGAGAATTCTGTTCATAACTTGCCCAACAGGCAAGTGAAGTTTATTGAGGAATTCAAATTACAGAAGAACTATGAAATCAATCTTCTCATCAAACACTTTTGGGGCTGGTTGAAATGATGTTTGGGCTAGTAAATGTTAGCTCCAGCTCGCCCGAATGGCAAGCTGTAAACATTACTTTCTTTGCACCCTGAGTTAGGTTTCTTTTTGTAGTGTGTTTGTGCAGTAAATCTAGGTACCAACGGATACAACAACTCCCAGCACTGGTGGGCCAACAATGTTGGGAGTTTAAAAATTTGACTGGTTTCAAACTTTGCACAACAACTCTCAATAACAGGAACAACACGCAACAGGGTGTGCAAACGGACGTGACATGTAACATCCAACATAAATGTTGCAGGCTTTGGAGTTCTTTTTACAACTTCATTAAGTTGTGTTGTTCAACGGCGATGATCGTCTTTGCATATATTTCTTCATCTCACGGTTCCCATCTCATGATCAATTGTTAAAACAAATATATACGAATTTCTAGTTTCTTTTTTGTTGGGAATTCAGTCACTTAATTGAACCATAACATACTGTTCTTCAATTATATAAAGAGTTGCACTTCAATGCATCCAGTACATTTTGTTATTTTGACAGTTGAAAGTGTTTCATATTAAAACACATTAAAATTATACTGAACTTCTAATGGTTAGTATGGTTGAGAAGATGTCATATTTCATATTTTACCTATCTTTTTAAAAAATATTTTGAAATACATTTTATTTATTATAATTAGATAAAGAAAGAGAGAGACATTTCATTTTTTTTTTTAATAAATTAACACCATTATTATATAACCTATTATTGGAAGTCATATATGATTTTGAGTGGATAGTGTTTTTCGTGCGCTCTGATTGGCTACTCAGTCACTCAATCAGTGAATATCCACTGATATTTACTGATTGACCTCCAGTTCCTCTGAGTGAGCGAGCGACGCTAAACTGGCGTAAGTTACGAGCAAAATGGCTTTCCAGTTTGCTGCTGTAACAAACAAAGAAATTTCACAAATAAACAAGCTATTCCGGAAATACACGAAGAAGGTGACAAAATTCAGTTTGGAAGTTAAAGCTTTACCTGTCTGTTTGACTTGAATTTATCAATGAAGCCAGTGAAAAATTTTTTTGTTTACAAATGCAAATTAAGTCTTGTGTTACTTTATTTAGCTTACATGTTCTTATTTTTACATAAGCTCGCATTCCTTTGTTCTTTTCGGGGGCTGAACATATTACATAACCACCGAATCAACTGTCTCAAAAGCTAGGTGCAGCTTTGATTGTTTGAAGGGAAGAGTGGGGCTAATGAACAAACTTATTAAAATGCGAAGGGATTATATACCTCTTATTAGTAAAATCCAACTAGTGGTCTATTATCAATGCTGCGTTCTGATTGGTTGAGCTACTACTAGGCTATATGTTGTAGCCCACTAAAGCGAAACTCGCCAGCTTTGAAAACCAAAACAATGGCGGCTGAATCGCATTTCGCTAGCTAAAGTTAATATAATAGAATAAAATAGAATAGAATATTCGCCTAATCAAAATCAATAGCGTGAGCATGCTTCATTATTCCCATTGAGCATGCTGATGAAGTCAATAAACTATACCTCAAGTTCTTGTGAGCTTAGCAATCCTCCCAAGAGGTCTCCCAAGTGCATCCATAACTTAACAGTACACGATGAAGCATGAACCATGTGTTTTATAACGTAAATTTAAGAGAAAAGTTCTGAACTTGTTAACCAATAGTAGCGAAAAGAGGTTTGTGTTATTGTTGTTGTCATTTGCGCGAGCTGTGTGGGCTGTGGCATGTGCAAATCATTCCTTTGCAAAGTTATTTCTTTCAAAGAGAATTTTTCGGTGAATTAATAGTTCCGGCACCTCAATATGGATTTTACAATCTTTTTTTAATGTTATCTTAAGCGACTTGAGTAAACTTTCTCTCAGTTTCAAGACAAAAACATAACTGTGAGGTAAAAAAATATACTAGTCATGCCACATTGACGCCTACTGCTTTTAGCACGCATAACTCACGTCGACGGCCAGATAGACGCCCACCAAAGGCACCAGAACCTGGCCATGGGTCAAGGTCGACGTCATTTGGCGGGAAAAACAAAACTAAGCAAACTTGACGATGACGCGTCGCTGAAGCATATTTTTCTGCTTTCTCTGCTGCTTTCCCCAGTTAGAATAGCATCCCTAAGGAATACTCAAGAAGCTTTACTGTTGGGATACTGCGAAGGATGGCTGGATGAAATGGAATTCCCTGCTTTGTATGAGTTAAATACATCTGAAAACCTTGAATTTCCCTATGATTTATATGATCAGTTCAACCTCGATACACCCCTTTCTGCACCTCTATCTCCATTTTGGTTTGCTTTCAATGGCAATAATTTCAGTTAGAAACTAGCGAAAAGGAGTTCTTTAAGAATACAGTCACTGGGGGTAAAAGGTAACAGATTATTTAGAGTACTGTTTTGTGATTACCTACCCAGCAAGTGAGTCACCTACCGTTTTATGAACATGCCTACTACTCCCTTCACAATCACATACACAAATCATGACATGATAATTTGTTGTTAAGAAAAGCATAATCTATGATGTAAAAACCTTTTGTCTTTTGTGTTTATCACCACTTAAAGAGGAAGAAAGCATGATGCAAGCCTGTTAACAGAATCTGGCCTGCTAAGAAAACTATCACCCACAGGGCAGCCTCTCTGTGTCTATGGTGACCCTGCATCACTGATGGTGCATTTGCAGGGCCCATTCAAGAATGCCTACTTAACTCCTCAGATGCAGCAGTTTAACAAGTCTATGAGCGAAGTTAGAATTTCTGTTGAACAACTTTTCAGTGACATCATTAATTATTTTAAGTTCATGGATTTTAAGAAAAATCTCAAGGTTGGCTTAAGCAGTGTAGGCAAAATGACATTGTATCAGGTCTCCTTCGCAATGCTCTCACATGCCTGTATGGCAAAAGCATATCAAAGTTTTTTGATATTCAGCCTCCAAGCCTCGACGATTACTTTGCCTAAACATGACAACATTTTCAATCAAACGGATTCCTGTAATGTCAAGTATGGTTTAATAAAAAACCTTTAATGCACAACAAATTACAAGCTAGTACTAAATAACATAACAACAACAACAAAAGTATCAAGAACTGCCCCCCGAGTTGTTCAAAAGTTGGATGGTACTATTCAACAGATAAATAAATTGCTATCCAGTTGGTAGCTGTTAGGGAATCCAATTGCGTTATCCAGTGGATCTCTAGCGCAATCCACCTTTTGAACAATTGGGTCTGGTCATTTGTTATGAGCTAATAAATGTGATAAAAAACAACTACACTCTATTGTACATCTGTTGCCTCTGCTATATAACCAGAGTACTTGCCTCCAAGTAACAAAAAAGTCTAGCAATACAATCCAGCAGTTTGCAGTGGTACTCCAGATTTCAAGTGACAGGGATGATTGAATAAGGGTAAAACTCAGGACCTGAAAAAATCCCTGGTCCAAAAACCAACCCTAAAAAATATCCCATGCCGAATTTCCAAACCTTCAAAATTCCACAAAGCATTAAATGATATAACACAAAAAATTAATAAAACAGTAAGCAGCCAGAATACGCAGGCACGACCACGAATCTTCAGTTTGTTTTGAATATCAAAACAAATCTTCACTTGAATCAATCCACCCCAAAAAAATTCTTTTAGTCCAAATTTTCCTACCCAAAAAAATCCAGGAATAGAAAATTTCAGACTCAAAAAACTCTTTTGATTATCACCTGTCACTTGAACTCTGAAGTACCCTCCCCCCCCCCCCCCCCCCCCA